TTGGCCTGACCTTAATCCCTGCTTTCATTTTTCCACATTAGCTGAGAAATGTCAGTGCTACCTGCATGTTACATTTATCAAGAAAACCCCCCAGCAACACACACACACACACACACACACACACACGCATACTCGTTCTGCTATATGTAGTGAGGACCACGTGTTGAATCCCATTGATTTTCCTTCTTTTTCAACCCTTTCTATGCCCTACGCCTAAAACTAACCCTAAACCTAACCATTACCAATACATACCTCACCCTAACCCTAACCCAATTGACACCTTCGCCCTAAACTTAACCATTAGCAAAATAGCATGTGAGCTCAGGTAAAATGTCCTCACTTTGCAATAAGTGGTTCTTAATTTGATGGTGAAATTGGAAAAATGGTCCTCACTCTGAGGGCAAGACAGGTACACACACACACAGATGGAAAAAAAATCCACATAGATGATTGAGATATCTGACTGAGAATAAAAAAGGCAAATTGCTGCAGTGGTGCCTCCTTAGATGCACTTTCTTTTAGGAAAGGCATGCCTCCCTGACCACCTCTCGGCCACAGCGACCTGAGATGCCTGTCTGAGGTGTAATTAGGTTTTAAGAGTAGAATCCAGGCCCCATTAAATTATATTCTGCATGCAGGGGAGTTAATTGGGTTTGGGCCCTGCTGGCATATTGCATGTGCACTGGAAACATTTCCCCAACATTAAGCCCCAATTAGGCTTTTCATGATGGGAAACCTGTTGCTGGATGATAGGATGTAGAGATGCTGATGGGTGACAGGCTGACTGTGCCATTTATCCACAGTAGTTCAGTCACCAAACGTATTTACTGGATATATGCAGAAAGCCTTGTAGAAGTATTCACACCTCTTGATTGCTCTTTTTTATGTGATGAAACGAAGGGAAGGGAATGGATTTAGGGTTGTCCTGCTGGAAGGTGACCATACTCTCCAATCTGACGTCTTTGTCATCTTGTTAACAGCTTTTCTGTTAGGATAGCCATGTACTTAGCTACACCCATCCTGTCAGATTTATGTACAACCCCTAGTCTTGCTGACAGAATTTCCCACCTGAGCTGTGGAGACCTCTGACACCTTTATGGAGCAGATAGAGTTTTACTGAGGTTATTCATTTAGAGAGGGGGACTATATGTACACTAATTAATCCAGTTTGTAAGGCAACTGAATTCACTGGATTTTATTTAGATGCATCAGATTAAAAAGGGGTAGAATTCATACTGTTAGATGGTTTCCGTTTTTCAGCAACATACCACTGTGGGATACTTTCCAAAGCACTGCATTGTTATAATCTAGTGAAAACCTTGTAGTGGCTCTGCAGATTGGTTACAGAGCAGTCTCTCTGGGTGGGAAAGTTTGTTTGTGTGTATTTGTGTGTGTGTTAGTAGGGCTCTCCAATGCGCATGCTTTTGCTCAGCTCAGAGTAGCAGCTAATGCAGTTATATAACAGTCAGCGCAGACTGCGTCTGCTGTGAGCCAAATGCCAGGCCTGCCTGGTTACATAAGCCTGTCAGAGTCATATTGTAGCAGCACAGAGCCCTCACACCCCAGCGTGGCTCTACCCTCTTCTCTGTCTCCTCCTCTGTCTGTTGCTTTCTCCTGCTGAATTTATTTGCTCCTCAGTCCTCCTCGTTTTTTTTTCCACACACCACTCTCTCTCTCCTCCATTCCTTTCCTCTTCTTCCTTTTCCTCTCTGCTGCAGCGCCGCTCTCTGCACTGAGAACAAAAGAGTTCAAGAGTGCTAGATTCAGATACAGAGGCAGCCCTCAAAATATGAGGCACAAAGTTGCACTGAGCGTAAATATCCTAGTGCATGTGATTTATTCCACCTCAGGTTTTTCAGCTCATATCACACCGGATTTGAAGTTGCTGTTTATCTCTCATTAATGTTTGAGGCTCTTATTGCTGCAGCCTGCTGGGCCATTGGGATCCGTTTGATCTGCTCGGTACCAATGCCTGCACCAGTCAGGGCTGCATCTACCACTGACCTTTGCTATACCTGACCCTCTGCTCCTCTCCTTGTCCCTCAGGTATTAGAAGGACAAAGGATTCGGTCAGGAGGAGATGTAGAGAGAGTAAAAAGATGTGTGCAAAATCCCCCCAAGTAAAAGCATCACTTTGGAGGAATACAATGAACTAAAGCACAAACTATTAACTTGCTCATAATTATTACTTTCATAACCACATTTAATCCCTTCTTAATTTGATAATTTACACATTATGTCAAAGCACCATGTTTCATGTTTTATTTTATTTTATTTTATATCTTAGTAGGGACTCTGGAGCCATTTGTGGTCCATGGAGGAATGTCTGTGGCCCCTGATTGCAATTCAAGAATGATACCAAAATGTCAGTTTGATAGAAAAGGAGATACTTCTAAAAGTTGTTTTTAGGTGAGGTATTTTACTGTCAAATTGAAATCTTCCTAAAATGGGAAACGTTATAAACATATATAAACATATATACAGTATCTATTAGTTTTTTTTATTTATTTATTCTAATTTCAGAGTAGCTGGGATTAGGAATATCTTGTGAATTTAACTTAAGAGCAGATTTTGTAACCCACATTTAGATTTAGCCAAACATATATTTTATTTCCTTTTAAAAGAAATTGTTCTTGTTTTGTTTTTTCCTTTTAATATATTTTTTTGTACTCTCAGTTAAGGATCAATTTTATACAAACGTCTGAATACCTTGTTTATTTTAATAAAATACATGTTTACTAATTATAATAACATTATATTTTGCATCTTTAATAGAAAATAAAATCAAATTGAAATTGCTCACTACTACTTTCATCATGGCGATGACCCGTCTGCTAGAAGGTTTGGACACTGCAGAGTCATTAAGATAACTGCTGATAACAATACTCAAAGCTTCTCAAATTGTGTTTCATTTATTAATCTAAGAAGCTTTTAGTTTATAATTCTATATCGTCATATATTGTGGTTTTGACTCCTATTTAGTCCAGTTAGCTTTTATAGACAATAAGACCTATAATTAAACCTTAACAAGCCCAAGCTGCCTCGAGCTAGATGATATTTATATATTATCTATATATTATAAATGTGCTGATATGGACTCACATCAGCTTCAGTAAGTTAGAAGAAAAAGGCAGAAAATAATTTTGTTTTTGGGACTGCCAAAGCTCAGCCAAACCCTCCTGCTGTAGATGGCTTCATTTCCCACCTCATAAACGAAGATGTATATAACTGGTTTAACCAGTAATCACTGTGATTAATAGTGTTGAAAACGAAGTCTCAACATGTTATAGGTGGTTTAGAGGAAGCATAATTTTATCTAAGCTGTCATAAAGAACCAGCTAATCCAAACAAAGAACAGAGATAATAATAATAATAAAAAAAACTACAGTTAAAAACCAGTGATGCGAAATTTTAACAAATTTTTTTATACTCGCACCTCTTAATTCACATACCAGCAAAGAACCCCTACCATACAATGATCTGAGTTGCAAGTAGAAAAAGCAAAATGAGACATGAGTGGGAGGAATCAGAGGCGTAGCCAGAACATTTCTAAGAGGGTGGCCAGGCAATAATTTTATCACTTAATTGGATTTTAACTTTATTTGGATTTAGTTTTTACATATGTATAGATATACGTATATATATATATATATATACAGAAGAGCTATATGTGTATATATTTGATCTCTTTTTATTCTTATTTTATTTTTTTGTAATCTTTATTATATTGTATAGTTGGATATGTGTATATATATATTATATAAAACTGCAATTGGAGCGTGTAACAAAAGTAATTTCCCTCTGGGATTATTAAAGTATTTCTGATTCTGATTCTGAACCAATGTACACTGAGGGGGGGCCGAAAGTGGATAGGCGCCAGAACCTCAGGATCAATCTACACTGTTCCAACAGGAAAATTAACGAGCACAACATCCATATGTTCTAAATAAAGACAAACTATACTTTCCTACAGCCTTTGCTAACAAATAGACGCATATTTAAAGATCCGTAATTTCTAGATAAAAGGTATAGTGGATAAAACTCTTTCAGTGTTGAGATCTGGGGCGTAAATCTTTTCCATTGTCATTACTTACCCACTTGTATCAATAAACATTCTGCATAAAATTGATATTTACAAACATAAATTGATTATTTGATAAGTTTTAATTAAAATTGTTATTTATCTATTATGTCACTGAAGACTCTTAGATAACTTGCAGAGACACATTATTTTCTAATTACCCCATACAATGCAAAATCTAGTTCTGAAAAGAGAATTAATTCTGTACTTATCTCTGATGTTAGTATATTGATGTGTATAATTAACCAAAAAAATATATATATGTTTTGAATATTCCACTTGAGAGTATTACTGCTGCCACCATCTGTATTAGAGGGTAAAAAATGTTAGGGGTGGCCAATGATTGGGTAAGGGTGACCATTGCCACCCCTGGTCCTCCATCTAGCTCCGCCACTGGGAGGGAAGTGAAGTAAACTTTACTCATATAAAAACACATTACTTTTCAAATAATAATGGTGGTATTACATAGTGCAAAATATAATTTTTTTGGACAAAAGATGTGTTGATGATAGCTGATGATACCTAAGATATGGCAACATAACTTTGATGTTGATGCTGTGGAATTTCTAATAGTTATACCATATTGTGCATCTCTTAAAATCGGATGATTATTGGTTCCTCTGCTTTGGAAACTATACAACTGAATTGATTTCAAGCCTAATAATTGGATTGTTTTCCTATTTTCCTTTGCTGTGTTTATAAGCAAAGTACATGCGCACTGTAAAGACATATTTCAATAAATAAAACAGCCCATCAAAGCCAATGTATCTCCTGGAGCTTGTGATTGCGCTGCGCTCGGCCTGCTAATTAGAATACTGTGAAGCAGGAAGCGAAGCTGCCAGCCAATGGCGTCCTACGCCAGCTTCTGCTTATTGATGAGGCGCGCCAGCTGACTGGAGGAGGCCGGCTGAGGGCGGCGCGAGCAGGGAGCCGCTGTGCGGAGTGGTGCGGGGAGCGTGTGCTGCGTAGGGCGAGATGTTGTTTTGTTGTGGCGATCAGCTGAACGTGGCATCGCCGTCCGGTCTGACACAGCAGCAGGAGGAGCAGGAGGCGCCTCACCCCGCAGCTCAACTCTGCGTCCTTAACACGGAGCTGCCGCGTCCGGCGCATCTCAACCCAGGAAATGCGGACTTCGGGCCCTTTCGCTTCGGGATAGATGACTGCAGCGCACACAGTGTATCGAGCTGGTAAACATTAACCCAGATGTTCCTGCCCTTTGCGGGAGTTGGTTTCGGTTGTGCTGCGGTGACTCCTGGAGGTGAGAAGTTGGGAGTGGATCCCTCCCTTTACTTTCCCTCTCTGGTTGAGTGTTAAAGTTGAGTTGCATGGACTGATGTGTTGTTGGTGTGATTGCTTATTAGATGTGTTGCTTATAGAGGAGCTAAGCAGCAGGAGGGTCAGCTGGATTTGGGGCACCGATCATCTGGGGTGGTGGTTAGGGGGTCTGCACACCCAGCTGACAGCATGCCTCTCTGGCTTTGGGCTTCACTAGGAAGCAGCTGATGAAAGATGATCTTGTATTTTTAAAATAAAGGAGAAGATCCAGATCATTTTGCCTATGAGGTTGTTTAAAATGGGCTGCACCTTCAATTTGTGGGTTTGAGGAGGATGACATCATGCTTTACTGATGATCTGCCATTATGGATGGACTGAGTTAATCCAATGTTTTGGTGTCTCTTAAGGGTTTCCATGTAAAAATGTAATGACTGTGTTTCTTTAGTCTGACTTGTTGAGCATGCAAATGAACCTCCAGGCAAAATTTTTAAGATTTCTGCATACATGTAGAAAATACCCTAACATGTAAAGATTTTTAAACAAGTTTTGAACATTTTATTTTAGAAAATCAAAAAGTAAAACTTACAGAGATGTATTATATACAGTTAGGTCTTATGCTTTTCTTTTTTTTTGGCTAATTTTTATTATTTAAGCTTATAGATAATAAAAAACACAAATTAGTTTTCACACAACCAATAAAAACATAATTTCAAATCCAAAAATGTCACTGAAAGATATAGTTTATTGGTTCTGTATTAGTTTTAGTCTTTTTTGTTGCTTTTTTCGCATTGATTACAGCATGTTACAGCCTTTTAGGAGCCTGGAGGTAATCGGCTCTGCTGAATTTTTTAAGAAAGCCCAGTTTGCTGTCATAGCAGCCCTAAGCTTTCTGCATTGTTGGGTCTGGTTTCTCTCATCTTGCTCATGACAACGCTCCTCCGGTTATCTATTAGGTCAAGAGTAGGTCATAATTGTGGAAACTGTTCACTCAAGCTCAAGCGACTGGGTGTCTCTCCACTCTTCCTCAGACTCTGAGACCTTGATTGCAAATCAAATGAAACTCTTTTGATATGTTCTATGTTTGATAGCTGTTGATTCTAGCCACAGTTCAAGCATTGTGAATATCTACCAACCTTTTGAATATGATGTGCTTCGCCACATTCCTCAGTCTGTGGTCATGGCTGCTGCTTAACGCACTTTTTCCCTTCACTCAACTTTCCGTTAATAGACTTTATAACAAACCCTTTGTACATCCGACCTTTTTAGCAAAGGCTTTCGGTGACTTTAACTCCTTATGGAAAGAGTCACTCACTGACTGGATTCGCATTAAGACAGCACTTTTTCCACTGATTGTCTAAGCCAGAGGTCTTCATCAGGGGATCCACGGAGGTACTTCATTGATTAGACATTATTTTCCACTAATTGAAATGTCTGTAAATCCACATTAACATGAATTCAACAGACTGTAGTAAACAGTTAAATGACGACAGAAGATGTCTTTCAGTCATCAATGCACACATTCAGCGACACACAGCAGCTCTTTCAAGCTGGGCACCGTTTCATTCACAACACCTGTCCCATCAACTAGGAATCAGAATCAGAAATACTTTAATAATCTGAGGGCAAAATTACTTTCATTACATGACTCCATCTGTAATAGAGTGACTATAGGACCAGTGTGATAAAACACAATTTCAAACTCTATATATTTAGGAGGTCCCCGCTCCATCTTGCCATCAGTTTGGGGGTCCTTCTCCAAAAAACATTGAAGAACCCTGGTCTAAGCCATAACAACAATACTAGCATAACATTAATACGATATAAATCTAAATTCAAATTCCCACTTTCTGAGAAAAACATTGTGAGGTTTTGTCAAACTGTAGGCCATGATTGTTATAAATTATTAATCAAGTTGCACTTATGTATACAAGTCTCACTTTTTAGACTGAGTGGCTTACACAAACTTTTTGATGATGTTCCACTGTTTTCAACACTTAGTGTTACTGTCAATATCATTTCAACAAGAAAGTACAGTTACTGTAGGTCTTGTATGGATGACATGCAAGTAAAGTAAGATTTACTTTGATAGCGCTAGGTTCGAAAATATTGAAACATAATTATATATAGATTAAGGTCATGCACGCTGGTTTTAAAATTATATAAACTGATCTTGTTATTTGGTTGAAAAAAAGGAAGTTGGATTATTTTTGTAGAAATCAAATATTGTTTTCATATTATTACAGTTTTGTTGAGCTTGTTCTAATTTTTTGCTTTGTAGGTTATGTCACAGTGTAAAATGCTGGATCTATTTCAAAAACATACAAACCTGTCCAAAAACAAAATATTTAACTCAGAGAAAAACTCTTTGGAGTCTAATTTTAATAACTATATTAGGATATTAGGTTTTAGGGCTGAAACAATTAATCAGATTAATCGTGATTAGCCAATTATTGAAATAACTAAGTAATCAATTAATCATTAACTGTATAGAGACTCTAGAACTTGTGTTTAGCTGACAGAGCAACCCACCTAGAGCAGTAATTATATCAAAATTGTTAAAAAATATATATATAATTTTGTAAAAAATCTACTAATGAAATCAAGATGTTAAATCTTACATTAAGGCATTGCTAGAAGCTTGCTGTTTTATTGAAAGTTAGCTGAACATTAACTTGGATTCTCTTTAAGAATTACAACTAACTTTAAAATCTGAAACTACATTTGTAATCATTCATACGTCAAGAGCCAGTTTTTAAACAAACTGCATTTTAATAGAAATTCTCACAGTAACAATATGAGAAAAACCTCTGTTGCAACTAATTAGTGTATAATTCAGTCACACGTGTCAGTCTGTGGTTATTTGCTGTTTTATCTCACTCTCACTACTGACTGCAGATTGAAAGAAGCCTTGTACATCATCATGAAAAGTATTGACAGTACTTAAACTTTTTTACATTTGATCCATTACCAGCAGAAACTTTGGTTTATTTTATTGGGATTCATTTCTTTAAGTGGAGATGAATTTCTTTTATTTCCAGAAGAAATCGGTAAAATGTAACATATACAGTCATATATAACCGATTAAACTGTGATACTCTGAAACAAAATCAAGACATCTTAGTTTTCGTTATTAGTGATTAAAAAAATGTTGAGACACATCTCAAAACGATTATCTGTGTTTGCAGAAAAAAAGTGTGAAGAAAAGTGCATATAGTATATAACAAAGTGTAGCTATGAGTGCTTCTTACAAGGCCTTGCAACAATAAACAGGGTTTGGATGTGACGCCCGATTACTCAATTGTAAAAAATGCAATTGGGAGGAGAGGTCAGGGAGGATGGGGGGTGTACCGTCAGAAAATACTCCTACCATTACTGTAAGAAAGATATGAAAAAAGGTAAGATGACATGGAATAAAGATTTAGCTGCTCCTCTGTTTCTAATAGGGTTCTCCTAATGTGGAAGTATTTATAGTTTAGAATAAAATCTCCATAGTCTACTGTCCTTAAAACATGACTAGTTGTGTGACACATTCCTCAAAGTATTAAATGGCATGTGTGAGCCTGTTTAAGTTTTAACTTTGTGTGAGCTGCTCAGTAAGAATGATGACAGTAAAAAAATAAAATAAAACTGTGACACACACCTAAGTCATAAAATCCTTTTTGCTGGCAGACTGAAACCTCTTGATGTCCATGCTGTCGCTGATTAATCCTGTTCGGCAAAGCTCCGTTGAAGAATAGACCCACTGTTGTGCTGGGAGACCAGACTGAACCAGGAACAAGACATTGGATACACATTTACACAAGCACAAAGTGCAGAGCGGAGGCCAGGAGTGCCATTCTGGCAGCTTCACAAGTGTCCCACTAGCCTAATAATCTTATTCCCTGGAATTCAGGGTACTCCGAGCTGGTGCTTTATTAAGACCTGGCCTGTGTGTGTAGTATACAGGTGCTGGTCATAAAATTAGAATATCATGAAAAAGTAGATTGATTTCAGTAATTCCATTTAAAAAGTGAAACTTGTATATTATATTCATACATTACATACAAACTCATATATTTCAGATGTTTATTTTGTTTAATTTTGATGATTACAAATGACAACAAATGAAAATCTCAAATTCATCATATCAGAAAATTAGAATATTACTGAAGACCAATAAAAACAAAGGATTTATATAGAATATTGTGAAAAGGTTCAAAATTGATGGCCCCTGGTGCCACACTCTAATCAGCTAATTAACTCAAACCACCTGCAAAAGCCTTTAAATGGTCTTTCAGTCTAGTTCTATAGGCTACACAATCATGGGGAAGACTGCTGACGGGACAGTTGTCCAAAAGACGACCATCGACACCTTGCACAAGGAGGGCAAGACACAAAAGGTCATCGCTAAAGAGGCTGGCTGTTCACAGAGCTCAGTGTCCAAGCACATTAATAGAGAGGCGAAGGGAAGGAAAAGATGTGGTCGAAAAAAGTGTACAAGCAAGAGAGATAACCGCACCCTGGAGAGGATTGTGAAACAAAACCCCTTCAAAAATGTGGGGGAGATTCACAAAGAGTGGACTGCAGCTGGAGTGAGTGCTTCAAGAACCACCACACACAGACGTATGAAAGACATGGGTTTCTGCTGTCGCATTCCTTGTGTCAAGCCACTCTTGAACCACAGACAGCGTCAGAAGCGTCTTGCCTGGGCTAAAGAGAAACAGGACTGGACTGCTGGTGAGTGGTCCAAAGTCATGTTCTCTGATGAAAGTAAATTTTGCATTTCCTTTGGAAATCAAGGTCCCAGAGTCTGGAGGAAAAGAAGAGAGGCACTTCATCCACGTTGCTTGAAGTCCAGTGTAAAGTTTCCACAGTCAGTGATGGTTTGGGGTGCCATGTCATCTGCTGGTGTTGGTCCATTGTGTTTTCTGAGGTCCAGGGTCAACGCAGCCACATACCAGGAAGTTTTAGAGCACTTCATGCTTCCTGCAGCTGACCAACTTT